TAGGGATTTGACCATGGATTGATGCCATTTAGGCAGGGGACCACTGAGAATCAAGGAGTAGGGGACAACTCCGTCATCGTAGTTTGGAACTCCTTGGAAGTACGCACCCACCGGGGTTCGAATCTGATACCTTCCGGTTACAAGGCAAGTTTGTAGACCATTTAGCCATTGGGACCCAAGCCAGTGGCCTATCATTTCCTACTTCTACCAATTCGCGATAAGTAGCATGACCACTGGCCAATGTCTTGATGCCTGACTTGGTGTACCCTAACAGTCATGACTTCTCACTAGAACTCCAGGCAATTTCGTAGTTTAACCAGTCACTAGTGAATAAAATTCAGCAAGCACACCATTCATTATTATTGTTATTATATTATTATTATTGTTTTCTTTAATTCCTAGAGGAACATAGGGCTTCAGCCGTGCGTCTCCATTGCGTTCGGTTCTCTGCTAGAGTCTTCACATGGCTCCAAGTTTGCCCACACGCTTTCATCTCCTCTTCACATGACCTCCTCCAAGTCACCCTCGCACTGACGACCAACTCGCCGCTTCCCTTTCAGGTTCCACTCGAGTGATGGCTTGTCTAGTGATATCACTTGATGGTTTCTTTGCTCAGAGTTTGGCCAATCCATCTCCATTTCTTCCTGCCTATTTGTTTCACAATCGGTTCCTGCTGAGTTGGTTCGCTCATTGCCAGAGATCTCTGTTGCTGATCTTTTCTGGCCGGCCATCTGATCTTGCGTATTGAGCGAAGACAACTGTTAATGAAGGTGTGTAGTTTGTTTGAGATGCTCTTTATGACGCGCAGTGCAAATCTCTGATCCGTATAGTAGCAGTGACTGACTTGACATTGGAGTTGAAAATCCGGATCTTATTTTTGATGCTGAGTGCTGTTGATCTCCACACAGACTTGAGAGTAGTGAAGGATTGTCTTGCTTTTCCGATTCCTTGCTTTGATATCCTCGTCAGTTCCGTCGGCCTGTAGTTGAAACGATGCTTCCCAGGTAGGTAAAGGAGGTTGTTTCGTTCAGGTTCCACCCATTTATGCTGATTGTTGTCTATTGTTGTTGCTGTCGCTGTTGGTGGTGTTGCTCAGGCATCTTCATCACCTCTCTTTTCTCTATGTCCACCTGAATTCCTGTCTTCTCTGGATGCTTCTTCTGCCCACTTGTTTCTTTTCGCTTGCATATCTTCCAGTTTGTGGGAAATCAGACAAATATCATCGGCGAAGTCTAGATCCTCCAAGTTTTTTGTGTGAGTCCATTTTATGCCTGTTTCCTCATTGCCCGATATTTGTCGCATTATCCAGTCTACTGCAATCAGGAAAATCATTGGCGATAGAAGGCAGCCTTGTCTTACTCCTGTCCTCACTTCGAAGGATTCCGCAAGTTTCCCGTTGTGGATTACTTGGCATGCAGCATTGTCGTACAGCTGTTAGATGAGATGTATAATTTTCGGTGGCACCCCGTAGTAGCGAAGTAGTTGCCAAATCACCTCTCGATCGACGCTATTGAAGGCCTTTTCAAAGTCGATGTAGTTGAGATAGAGAGGTGACTGCCATTCAGTTACTAAATTATTGAGTAAGCACCAACGAAGTTAGCCAACCATTACGATTATGAGATATTAGAAGTCAAAAAGTAACAAACAAATAACAAGAATTGACTATTTGTTGTCTTCTGGAATGTTCATTTCCTTTCCATCATCAATAACAAATGCAAACGAAAAAAGTAGTATTTATGAACAAAAGCCTATTCTTAAATAGTTCTATAGATGCAGATCAGTAAAAAATGTGCTAGCATTTTATGCAGTAGTCCGGACACAACTGCATCACAGTCTTTTAAGTTGATTTCATCAACTGTTTATCAACTGACCATTTTGTTCTAGTTACACGTTTAACCCTACATACTCCATAAATCGCTACTTCTCTTGTGAAGAAATGAAAATGTTATTTTTATCTTCTGAACACAATTCTACGTTTTAATGATAACTTGATGTCACCTAACGTTTAAAGATTTCTGTATTTTGTACGTGTTTACTTAAAAGTAAATAATAAAAATAAAAGATGCTATTTGTTTCCACATGAAACAGATTTAAATCTTTGTTGGAATCAAAATAAAGATAAGTTGACACCTTTTTCACCTAAAAGCAACCATCAACAAATAAAAGTAACATTAAAAACTACTACTTTAAGTAGTTACTTTGTCGGGAACACAGTCAAAGTATTTGCCTAAGCTACTTTATTAATCAATAAAACAAAAGAAAACCATAGCCAGTTGACAGAAGTTAAAAGTTAGAATTCCCGGGCTATGAGATTCCGTTATCGTTGTTGTGGATTGAATAGGATCGCCTTGTACCCAGAGGATTCTGGGCTCGTCCCTCAAAGGCGTCAGGGGTACGCCTCCCTGAAGAGTCTTAAACTGGAAGAAAGCAGTTGTCCAGTACTCTCTGGTGTTTGATATTTTTGCAGCTGATGTCTGTTTGTAGTGTAATTAGTAAATCATAGAAAATTTTTCTAAAATGACTTCTGACTGATTGCTCACTTATTTGCACCTTTCTTTTAAAACAATTAGTTCCCTTTAAGAATTTAGATAAAGCAATAAGAAGACGTAATTTGTCTGAATCGTGTAATGTATTTGCGCAACACATTTCGAACAATCTGATCACACACGGACTTGTCATAGGAATATATATGAAATTAATAAAGAGGTAAGAGGTGAGAAAAATAGACTTAGGTCAAGTTTAAAGGACATATTCAAGGTCAAAGTAACAATGAAGACCACTAAACCAAATAACAGAGGTAATAGTGCATCTGCTATGGTGTCAAAACAAAATTTACCAAGGAAGGTTTAATGTGATGGCAAATTGTTTTTGAACGCATAAAGGTGGCTTAAACTTTCTAATTGCTAGGGCTTCCACAAACTTTAGGATACGCCCCAAACACGTTTTATAGATAGGTTTAAAAGATCTGTTAACGTCAATTTTATGTCCTGTTTCTATAATATGTTTCGCAATAGAGGAGCTAGGTCTCCTGTTCTCACCATTAATGGGTCCTGAAGATTCCATTTGTTTCTGGAGCCATTTAGGAATATGCTCTGACGCCCTTACTTGCAGAGATCGATGAGTCCTCCCTATGTATGTGTGTCCACACGTACATTCAAATTGGTAAATACAGTGGGATGTGACGTCATTTTTCTCATGTTCGAAGGGCTTAGATAGATATATTGGCCAAACATTCTCTATTATTATGATATTGGCTGCATAAAAAGTCTTTTTTACAGCAGCGTTCAGTCTTTGTCTAGTTATCAAGCTGCTTTGATGCCCCATATAGGGTAGCTTGATGTACACGTCTTTCTTAGGGGCGAGTTGGAGAGTGGGTCTTGGTGTTCTGACTACTTTATATCTCCTGATGAACTTGTCTGGATAATTGTTATCAACCAGAGTTTGTGTCAACTTTCCTTCTTCCGCATCAAGTGTGTCTTCAGTGCATATTCGTTGGATTCTACTGAAGAGGCACCTTACTAAGGCTCTTTTGTACCGAACAGGGCAAAAACTGTGGTAATTAAGATACTGTCCTGTCCAGGTGGGTTTTCTATAAATAGATCTTTTTATCGACCCATCAAGCCGTCGACTAAGCAGTATATCTAGGAAAGATAAACAGTTATCTTCCTCTTCTACAGATGTAAGTGATATGCTATTTTGGACTTCATTCATTCGATTTAAAATTGAGGTAGCAGAACAAGACTTATCACTGATGATTACAATATCGTCTACATACCTTCTATAAAGTGGCACATTTTCGATTAAGTCCTCCGATAAATTCTCAATGTGCGACATATAAATATCTGCTAAAAGGGGACCTAACGGAATTCCCATAGCAACACCATCAACTTGGCGGAAACAATCGCCTTCAAATGTAAACCTAACATTGTTAGTACATAGAAGTAATAAATCCCTTAAATAAGATATAGGGAACGGGATGAAAAAATTGTTTGTGGAAATATAATCACACAAAATGTCAACTGTTTTGAGCAAAGGCACATTAGTGAATAACGAGTTTACATCAAAAGAGTACATATTCTTATTCATAATATTAATATTACTATTGTCAAGAAAATCAATCAATTCAAATGTATCTTTTAACACATACTTACAGAATTGTGTTTTAACTGGATGCAATAATTCTACTAACCATTTAGCAAGTTTATGTGTTGGGGATTTGCACATTGACAGTATAGGACGTAGAGGATTATTGGGTTTGTGTATTTTTGGCAAGCCATACATATGCGGGAATTTACAATCTGATGGCTTTAACGAGTCAAATTTTTCTTTACTTATAGCATTTAGGCCTTGAAGCTTCAGTAGATTAGCTGTCACTGTGCCCTGCAACAACTGGATATCTTCTGAGGAGGGATCACGGCTAAATTTGCTTTTATCATCAAGAATAAACATCATTTTAGATTTATAGTCACTTTTATTCATGATAACGACTCCAGAACCTCTATCAGGTTTCGTAATAATGATATTAGGATTTTCCCGTAGCTCTTTCAAGGCTTTGAAATGCTGGGAATTTAAAATGCTTTTCTCGTTTGGGTTGTTGTTTAAAAACTGATGAGCTATATCCACCATCTTGGCCTTAAACCAACCCCGATCTTTATCGGATGTTGCGGCAACAGGTTTGAGTTGGTCGTATAAGTTTTCAAACTCAGCATGTATGGCTAAATCCGTAAAGTGCGTGCGAGGAACACAAAATTTGAGTCCAAGGGATAATGCTTCTTTCTGATGAGTAGATAGAGTAATATCAGAAAGATTTGTAACATACTTATCAGGATTCACCGGAAAGACATCTACGCGGTTTCGATCATCAATTGAACTCTTCAGCTTATTTTGTATATCCGTCTTAGTTTTCTGAGTGACGTCTTTACAAAACTGAAGAAATTTCATGTGGCATATTATTGATAATTCAGATAAAATAAGTTTACTTTTTACCCTCTCTTTCATAGATAATCGATTGCAGTTCACTAGAAAGTGCTGTCAGTTATCCAGTGCAAAATACCTTCTCTCATACAAATCCAAGCCAACATCCACAAAGTCCTCTAGAAACGCGTACATATCAAAGCCTTATGTCGGTTTACTTAAATGATGTTGCCCAACAAACTAGAAACACTGTTCATACAATTAATAATTCTATTACTCCAAATGCTAGTGATAACAGCATTGTTAGTCGTAATCATGGTAATGTTAATAATAGTATTAGTAATGATAATAATAATAACAATGATAATGTTAGTAATCACAGTATATGCTTAGATGTGAATAGTAATACCAGTTATCAAAAGGATACTCTACCTTATAAACTAAATATTCCTAAAATTGCCACTGGTGTATTCAATGATGAATTACACAGAATGGAGAAAGTGAACTCCTTTGAAAGTAATCAGTCATCATTTTCATTAAATAACGATGATTCTATTGAACAGAACAATAATACATCAGCAGCAGCAACAGCGGTGTTACAAGGTGTACAATTACCAGTTGTAAATGAAAAACCAAAACGTCCTGTATTATGCTTGTTCAGTGCAAATAAATCGCATCGTCATTATCATTCAAATCGTGATCATCAAAAATGTCATCTAAGACGTGATAATTCAATCAGAAATGATAACATGGAACATCAGGATGATGATAATGAGGACGGGGAGGAGGGGGAGGGGGATGACATTAATCAAATTGATAATGATATGAAGCAGTCGTTAACATCAATCAATACTTCCATGTCTAAATTACCAAGTATTAATTATACAAAAAGAACATCAGGCAGCAGTAGTGATATTAATATTGATACTGTTATGAATAATTCTACTATTAATAGTAGTAATAATTTATTATGCAAGATGAATGAGTGTAAAAGTTGTATGAATTTACAAGCTTATGAATTAACACAAGATCGTTATCGTAATCCAAGTAGTGGATCAACAATTAGTCAAGCACCAAGATCGGATTTACCAGATGTTTACTTAAATGTAAGTGTATACAATAAATGTTTAAATTTAGTTTCATTTAAGCATTTCTTTTTATAAAGAATAATGTAACATAGTGGGATGAATTGATTTCAGTTATTTGGTTTTCTAGGGACTTTGTTTTGATTGGTTGGAGGATTTCACCGTGAGCTGACATCGGTGAGGTGAGGCAGTAACTCATGGAAGAAGACATTGTGAAGTGGTCGCACTATGTCACGAACTGGCAGAAGTTAGAGTTCATGGACTGGCTGGTAATTGGGTCGGGTCCAACTGGCTTAATGGTCTACGAGCTCGCCTCATAACCAGAAAGTCCGGGGTTCGAACCCTGGCGGTGGGTGTGTACTGCTGAGGAGTTCCAAACTAGTCTGCCGAGACAGCTGTTCAGTACTCCCCACAGGTTTCTTAATGGTTCTCTAAGTGATGTCAGCTGATGATGAAATCCTCTAAACAACAAGGGGTGAAGTGAATTTAGTTTCATTTCATTTGTTTTAAACCTCCAGTCTGTTTAAATCACTGGTCTGACTAAATTTTCTATCCAACAAAATGCACCATCTTAACTCCGTTTCACACTGTTTTAATGATCTAATCACTACAAATGGTCCACAATTCACACTCGCGCAATATTGCAATTATGTTTCTATGTATCTCTAGGAATTTTCTGAAGGAAATAGAGGAAGAACATTGGGGAATTCTGCACAATAAGTAAATAACTTATAGTGAGATTGGCTGAAAACTCTATATGGTGTATCAACGCACTTTTTCAAAATAAAGCTATTATTATTATTGGTGAATGGAAATGAAAAGGTAAGGTTTCGGGGGCTACAGCTTCCTCCTACAAAATCCTGAGGGATAATCCAATCAACTAATTAAACCACAAGTTAAGTGACGCATAAAAATCTAAGAACACAGGATCTGTCTGTAGTACGATACAATATTATACACAAAATAATGAATTGTAATGTACAAGCCTGAAAGTGTAACATGACTGAATGCTGTTAAATGCACAGTCAGTATGCATCGATAAGAAACACAGCAAAACTGTGTCAAATGCGATTCACGGTTAGACTAAACAGCGCGAATGTCAAACAAAGCATAAAGGGAATCGAGCAAATGATGTTCAACAGAGAAAGGTGTGTGAACAAAACATATACACTAAATAACATTTAACTATAAGGATATATATATATATATATATCAAATAGAGTACTAATACTTTAATAGCAAAGAACAGTCACGTTAATGAAATGACAAATATAAATGCATACTGTTGATATTAGATGGTTGGAGGCAACCGGCAAAAATCCTTGAACCTAGGTTTCGTGCTAGTTAGCACTCGTCAACATCGTGATGGCGAGACATCTAGAATGGTGATCACATTACAAAGGTGACTGATAGAATTCAGTTTGCATCTAACAGAGAACTAGTCACATTACACTAATTGCTAACTAGTATCCTATACTAAATAAGTGCATACTACTTACTAGTGGTAAATAGTATAAATTTTAACACAGAAAATGAGTGAAAAAGGACAAATAGGAAAGTAATTAACTGCAGCACAAGCAACAGAAAATAAATATTTTCACATCAACCCAGTGGTATATGTGGGAACAGAAATGATATAGTTCATAACATGAATAATCACCATAGGCAAAGATAAAAACCTTAAATTATAAATTTAATTGAATTTTAGATTTTCCCGTCGATTGTTTGGACCGAAGGTTGACATGTCGACAAACGACTGGAAAATCTAAAATTGAATTAAGTAATTAATATGACCCGTTACACAAGAAATGGATCTCGTTGGCCAAGTGGTCTAGTGGATAAAGCTTTGGCGTTTGAAACTAAGGGCACTGGGTTCGAACCTCAGTGAGAACATCTTCACTCACTGGGGAATACAGGTACACCCAGGTGCCACAATTTGGCGTTCATATAATTTGCACAAATGCAACCTTCTGAGGAATAATAAGAGATTATTACTGTGAGTTTTTGGTGACAAGGAAGATATCCAATGACCTATGATTTCCAGGTTCCAGTAAAATCAATGAAGCCCTTCCCCCTAATAGTTCACTGGTTATCACCAGTTGATGAGATAATATTTAGCTAAACTTAGCAGCTGCCACAATTTCTATCATAAAATTAAGATTTTCAGACAAATAGATTGCGTGTGTCATCTTACAATGCGAGAATTCATTTTAATGGCATCCAAAAATTATAAGGAAAGACAGATATAAGACCTTAGAGTGTAACTAGAGTGTAACTAATTATCTAATTTATTCAGCATTTAGCAGTCACTTCTGTATTTCATTTTATGTTCAAGTGTCAGCTTACTGGCATTTGACTGACTTTAAGTTTGATCACGAACTGACTTCTGTTAGAGAACCACTGAAAACCAGTGAGTATTGAACAGGTACCCGGCCCTATTTGGGTCTCTTCAACTGCACCCACCCGTGACCAAAGCAACAGGGATCAAGTCCAGGACCTTCAGATTCCAGTTCGTTATCAAATTATCATTTTATTGTCTATGACATCTGAAGATACATAACATCTGTTAGGCTGGTTAACTCTGAATTACCACTGATCGCAGAAATAGAACATAGGAGTTCGATAGTCACTGCAGCATCTAGAAACTGAGTTCTAAGTCTTTATCTTAAGCATTACCATACACATGTATAAGAGAGAAATTCCACATTAGAAAATAAATATATCTTAGAATTCATTAATGTCAGTCACTAATTTCTGAAATCACTTACATTATCTTGGGAATTTTCTTCAGGTTACTCAAGTTCTGAATATCTAAGATCACCCCCTTTATTCTCCGCTGCACATAAATTTGTCGCGCAGCATTAAAAATACAGTTTTAATTCTGGAAATCAACTGTAAATTGATTAACATACAATTTTTTATACTGAAAGCTTTCTTAAAATAGGATCTAATTTCCTACAATTAATTCCTTATATAAGTTTTTCTCAAGCTAGGTGGTCAGGATTCCTGGCTTTCACCCAGGCGGCCCGGGTTCGATTCCCGGCGCGGGGCGCTTGTTTTGTCGGTGGTATAGCGGTTCGGACGCTTGCCAACCGTGCATCAGGTCCTGGGTTCGATCCCGGCCGACGCACTCCTTTACCTTGCTAAGCCAGAAATAATAATGGTGAAGAGGAAAGGCTGGTCATGAGGCTAGCAACCCCATCCTGTAAAATAAACACTGCTACAGAAACTTCAAGCCACTAGATTGAGGCACTATGTTCCACTGGTGAAAGTGAAGGAAAAAATTGAATAACAAAGATTACTGGATGAAATGAATTCACTTAACTTTGTATGCTTTAGATCTTCCCCACCTCCTTACGCACACACATTATTCATATTTTATATTCAGTTTGATTTACTGATTGCTTCAATACTCAGAGATCATAATTTCATGAAGTAATGGTGAAGATTTTTAGCTCAGGTGGATGTTCTGGTGCAATTGTGTCCCTAAGCCAGGTGATTTGATTGACAAGTCTCCATTGTCCTTCTAGACTATATCTTCAAAGCTTACTCTACATTGGAAACTTCACATTTAAACGATTCAGCTGAGAGAACATAACTACATCAAAAAAATGTAGTTCTGCTAGGATAACTGCACCGAAGAAATTTCATGCCATAAAAATTTCTTCTGACAATTTTACGTACTGTAACATTTATCAGTAGTTTATAACGTATTATTTAATTTCAATCGTCTGATATTTTTTTATCTACAGCCACCTTCAATGTCGACGTTACAATCTCAAAGAAGTAGTCTGTGTGAAAGAAACAGAATGGAATTTTTGTATGTTGACAATGAATTAGAAAGGGATAATTATTCCCGGCACAAACTAGGAACAGATAAATTAATCAGTGCATCACATTCAGAAGTCGATCTTACAAGTATGAAACAAAATAATATTCATTTTTCTTCAGAACAGACAAATGGTGGAGGAGACAATTGGAGTCTTGTTGATGAATTGGTAATTCTTCCACAACCACAAAAATTCGGATTATTACATAATCAAACATTTCATTTAAGAAATACATATCATCAACCCTTACCTCAATCACCATTGAATTTAGCACCACCAAGCTTTAAATTCTTTCAATTACCTGATGACAATTTTGGTAATTTACCAGTGAAAGATAAAGAACACCATATCAGTATACAACAACACTTAAGACGAGCGTTGAGTTTAACATACAGGCGAAAATCTCCTCGATCTGTCAATGCTGAAATTCAATCCATTATGGATAAACATTATGAAATGACTGGGATAAGAATGACTATTGGTTCTGGTACAACACAGAAGAATACAACAACTACTAAATCGTATATGAATTTATTTGGATCACAGTTTAACACTAGAATTCAGTCTTCAAGACCAAGAGTAAGTCAAAATCATATGATGTGTCTTGCTGTTATTTTTTAAACCTAGTCAATAACACTAGAGTGCGTCGTTGGCACAAGGGTAGAATGTTCGCCGACCAAGCCTCATGCAGTTCAGGGTCCGATCCCTTGGCAACGAACTCCTATATCTCGCTAAGCCAGTAATTAGACACGTAAAGAGGGAATGTTGGGCATGAGGTTAGCAATTCCATCCCGCAAAAATAAACACCACTTCTACTAAAACTTCAAAACTCTAGTTTGAAGCTCTCTGTTCCACTTGGAACATAAAGAAATAGAGAAAAAACTAACACTAGAACATCATTTGAATATATTTTCAAAGTTTTTTTGAAAATAAAGGCTTTTGTGATTATGAAACATGTGGAGACTCAAAGAAATTCCTGTTATCCTACTATTCATAAAACTAGTCCTTGTTGCATAAGTCTTGTGTTAATCGAACGACAAGAGAGCAAGGGAAATGACAGTAAAAATAATTTTTGTGAAAACTGTAAAAGCACAGCGGCAATATCACTTTTAAATTACGATAACTATAACAATCTTCTGTAAGGCTAAAAGTGATATTTTAAACAGAGATAAACTAGTGCCTGGTTAAAATATGCAGAGGTCAGAATTGACAGTTAAACGAAACAGTTATTGTTCTATATGAATATCTTAAATCTACCATTAGTTGAGATGACATTATTTGCATAAGACACCTTAGAGAAGCACTAAAATGCATTAGTTTGTAAATTTCAAGAAAGCACCGCTTAATAAAACAAAATTCCTCTCTTCAACGCCATCAGAAGACTCAACTGAAAATTGAAACGAGTCATCCAATGAAGGGACTATTTACAAGAAATTTATCATCAAGCTGTACAATGGTGCATATATGTGAATTTCTTCCAAAAGAAATTCCGGATGATAATCGAACGATTATTATAAACCACACGTTGAGTGACACGTAAAATCCGAAAACACAGGATTTGTCTAAGATACAGTACTATATTAAACATAAAATATGAAATATAATATACAAACCTCAATTGTGAAGTATCTTTGGTGGAATTCCGTCAAGAAGCACAGTCAATGTGCTTCAATATGTAAAAACAGCAGAGCTGTGTCATAGGCGATCCACGTGTCATTTAAACAGTGCACGAATACCAGACACGGAATAAACAGATATGAATGAACAGTGTCCAACAGTAACGAGTAAATAAACAGAGCATACACAGTAGAAAATGTTCAACTATAAGAAATCAATTACTATACATCAAATCCAGCATAAAATTCACTTGCGAACAAAGTCGTGTTCAAGTCGTGTTCATACTACTTACCATTAGTAAGTAGTATGAAATTTAAAACAAAAGAAAGGGCAGCTGTGGACAGATGAGAAAAGAATTAACAATGTATATTTTCATTCTTAATGCAAACTGCGTCAGAATAGGTTGCGTACTTTGTAAAATGGTCCACAGAATGTATAAATCTTATAAGGGGGTGTAGAACAAATAGGATTGGTCGGCGGTCAAAAGACTGTGTATCAAGGTGAGAATTGAGGTAATGACAAAAAGATAGCAGAAAATCACATTGAATTAAATGAATACAGCATGATGAGTAAGATAATATCGGAGTGGAAATAATATTAGCAACAAACGAAAGAATAAGGAGTGGCTATACAGCCTGAATGAACAAAACGAGAAATAAATTAGGACAAGGTAGAAGGGAAGACTAAATTAGTTTTTTTACCTTAGAGAGATTGAAACTCTGAAGGAAAGAGTAGTTGAATAAGCATTTCGAGGATACATAGCCGATGCCTACACATTACAGTGATCAAAGCCTCAGCAAAACAGATGAGTCGGACGTATAATGGTTTTGGAAGGTATGTTTTATAATAGATAACCATAAAGAAAAACGCTTTAGAGATATGGTTACCAGTATCGACCAGATGCTCAGTTATTGTTCATATATAATCCCCATCCAGGTATTAATGAAAACAAAACACGTAGATCAGCGAAGAGTCTCTTTTCGGCGAATCCAATTTTTTACCTGTACAGTCGCAAGTATATATCTCTTATTTTGTATGTATGTGTACATTAAGTTTGTCAAACAAAAATACAATTGGTTATAGTTATTTAAACTAAACAGGTGAAGATTGGTAATCGGAGTTACGTAATACAAAATCAGTCAAGAAAATTAGGTGTTAGTGAAATTAGGGTAGTAACAAAGGTGATGAGTTGTCACAAACAGTTTTTGAAAAGGAGTTGCGTGATAAATGAATAGTTTGATGACTGAGTTGTATTCAGGATACACACGGGAACAAAGTAGAGGATACAAATTATATAAGAGTTCTAAATGAATACAAGAATTATAAGTAATTAAAGAACAGGCAAAGAAACAAAATTAAGTCATCAAAATCAAAAAGTCAAATCAAATCAAAAAAGTTGTTACCAAGACAGTAGAAGTGGTTGAGTAATCCTCTTTTGTATGCACAACTCCGGTTTTTCTATGTGAATGGCCAGAGCTTCAGCCATACAAAGAAGGCGAAACCGTATTGCCTTTGGTATGTTGTTCTTGACTCTGTAGATTACTTTGAAGGAGGCGTTTGTTGAAATGGAATGATCAGTGTTAACCAGATGTTCAATTATCGCACTCCTTATTGCACCCGTATTGCCTTTTCGCAGCCATGCTGGATAGTGTTCTTGAATCCTCTTGGACAGGGTGCGCGTCGAATGACCGATGTACCTGGCTCCACAACAGCAGGTGAACTGATATATGCACATGGAAGTGGTCAGATGCGGGATCTTGTCCTTGAGGCTTCTGCAGATCAGTTGGCGACTGGAGAACACTGTTCTTCGGGTTGCTGCAAAGAATGTTCTTCTCAGAGATGATGTGATCCTTCTCTTGAGAATATCGCTTGCTAAATCTCCCTTGAAATCCAGGTTCATGTAGAGTTTCTTTTTTGGCGCAAGTAAAGTTTCGTTTCTCCGAATTCTTGGTTTGATATTTTTGTCGATGAATCTTATTGGGTATCCATTTTGGATGGAAATTTCTCTGAGTATCTAAGTTGTCACAAATAATGAATATGTCGTCTACGTATCTTTCATACAGTCGCAAATTGTCAGTGCTTGGCTTTAGTGGACCTCTCTCGAGGCTTGCGACGAAGCAATCTGATAGTAGTGGACCCAACGGAGATCCCATTGCAATACCATCTTTTTGTCTGTAGATGGTGTCGTTGAATGTGAATTGGACGTTCAGAGTTCATCTCAATAGTAATTCCTTCAAATATGTTGTTGGTATTCCAATATTGAGATGGTTGTCTACTTTGTTTCCGTGTGTATCCTGAATACAACTCAGTCATCAAACTATTCATTTATCACGCAACTCCTTTTCAAAAACTGTTTGTGACAACTCATCACCTTTGTTACTACCCTAATTTCACTAACACCTAATTTTCTTGACTGATTTTGTATTACGTAACTCCGATTACCAATCTTCACCTGTTTAGTTTAAATAACTATAACCAATTGTATTTTTGTTTGACAAACTTAATGTACACATACATACAAAATAAGAGATATATACTTGCGACTGTACAGGTAAAAAATTGGATTCGCCGAAAAGAGACTCTTCGCTGATCTACGTGTTTTGCTTTCATTCAGTTATTGAGCTAAACGTTTCTCTAATCCGCGTTTCTACCTTTGTCCTATTTATTTTCCGTTTTGTTTATTCAATCTGTACATCCATAATTTATTATTTCAATTGTTATTCCTATTGTTTTTGTTTTTATTTTCAATCTGAACAAAAAAGAATGAGTTCATAAATATGTCTTTTTAGAAATTACATGAAATAAGTTTTAACAAAAAAATTCACATGTATTACACCTTCGTGACAGAAATTTACAACAAAATGTTTTCAGTTAAGTAGGATTAAGTGAATTTACAGAAATTTAAGTAGAATTTTTCAGTTGGATAGGAGGCTTACATGTTTGATTACACATATTGTGAGACAAGTGTAGAACTATGACGTCATAAAAAAAAATGAACAAAGTATGCCTTACATGAATGTACACGGCTTTTCGAGATTGATGAAATGCATGAAATGGTCAGGCTTTGTTATTCACTGTAAACAAAAAGTTTACTAACACAGTAGGGAAATTAATGGAATCATGGTATATGATGATTAATCCATACGGTGTGACCAATGTCACGTCCATATTCCTTAATGTTGATGCTGACTCAACTCTGCTAGTCAAGTTTGCAGTGTGGTCACCAGAAGTTTGATGAGTCACTATTTTGGTACACTTCGATGGGTGGAAATCAGCACTAAGCCGTGTTTTGTTGCATATTATGTGGCGACAGAAATACAAAGAAATGAATATATTAAAACGATATGAGTGAAGTGGCCCATTTGTTCACTGGGATAAGAAACAAGTACAAGTGGTGCAAACAATTTAAGAATAATAAAATGAATTTATTCAGGAGACATTTTCAAAGAATTATATTTGTAAAATCTCAGCGAAATTGAAATGATTAATTACAACGTTTCGTCCGGCAATCTGGTCCGAACTTCTTCAGGGAAATTAATCGAAATTAACGTAACAGAGGTTTATATATAAAATGACATCTCTTGTTTTTAAAAACTTTGTCTGATCATATGAGCCATGAAACGGGTATTTGTTTTTCTTCACGTTACCCAGTGGAACATAGGGCTTCAAGCTCGGGGCTTGAAGTTTCTGTAGCGGTGTTTATTTTACGGGATGGGGTTGCTAGCCTCATCCCCAACCTTTCCTCTTCACCATCATTATTTCTGGCTTAGCAAGGTAAAGGAGTGCGTCGGCCGGGATCGAATCCCCGAATATGATGTGCATGGCCACTGATGCGAAACTACGTCACCTGTGATCAAAATTTGACTTCAGACTTTCAAAATTAGTCAACATTTATTATGATAAAGGTTTTTGTATTTTCCAATGAATGAAAAAAAAACGATATCATAGCTTCTAAGCTACTG